ACACACACACACACACACACACACACACACACACACACACACACACACACACACACACACACCTGTTCTTACAGATCTGCGCTGAATAAATGCTATTCTTTGTCTCAATAAAATGCTGTAGATTTTAAACGTTTTCCTGCCTCAGGTTTCAGCGCAGGAGCTCCTTCTGTCCCCATAAATATTACATTCTGTTAATAAAGYAACACCGACCTCATTCAGTCATTTTACACATGAACCATCTCTGTAAACGTTAGAGATTTTACAATGTTAATTGTGAAAAACTTCCACGTTCAAATGGAAATTGCTGTTTAGACGAGACCCCCAAAAAATCTGCTGAAACCTCCTCAGTTTTTATGCCAGGTCACGAGGTGGCGCTGTGAGTTTTGTATTTTGATGACACGCACACGCATGAGCATGAAAACAGAGACTGGTCTGTCCAGCATTTGTAAAATGTGAGAAATGCGATCCAAGAGATGGAGCAGCACAAAAAAGCCTTTGCTATCCGCCACTGGTCATCTACTCCACGTGTCAAACTTAAGGCCTGTGGGCCAAATGTGGCCTGAACAGCATTTTGTGTGGTCCGCAAGAGAGTATGTCACTTTAAAGCAAGCAACCATAAACTACATACAAAATGAAAGCATTCACTACTCGGTGGAGGAGCCAAATTTAAAAACTCCATTTAGCTGCATTTTGGCCAGCTACTTTTGCTGTGTCCCAGTTGTACTGGGAAGTAGGAATTTCTCACTTAGAAGTTGTAAATATGACACACCTGATCTACACGTTGTCTATAAAGCTCCACTCTGAGACCTGAGTTCCAAAAATCTATGGTGAAAACAATATCTGCTGTTGTTTTGTTTTTACACAGACAGCCGAAATGCAACAGTAATGCTCACTTAAGGCCTTTGCATCCAAACCTGTGAAATCCACTCTTACTGATGTAGCTGCGTGATGAAAAGTGCATCATTTTGTTCTCGGCTTTGTGTCGCCTGCTCCGCTTTGCCCAGGCCAAACTTTTCACTTCCCTCCGTGGTCAAAAGCGCACGGGCGTGGAGTGTTTCAAAAAATGGCGGAAGAGTGAGACGTATGTCGCGTGGGCTCCCGCTCCGACTTGTTCTGTTTGTGGTTCTCTACTAAATGTCCTTGCTGTTTTGAACATTTGGTCTGTCCGCACTCGACCCCTGAGTGATTCTTGCTTAGAAGAGTAGAAGAATGGCGACAAATTCGAGGAGAGGCAAACATTCTAGCTCTGCAGCTGTTAGGCCCGGCGCCGCCTCGGAGCAGGCTGCAGCTAAGGCTGGATTTTCGGCGCCTCCTTCTCCCTCCCGCAGCGAGGTGGACGCACTCTCCTTGAAGTCTGACATTCTTGCTTGCCGCTATAAAAACCTATCTCTCAGCTGTGATCAAATCCAAAATAAAAACGGCTTTGGCTGAAGAGTTTACTCTTATTAAAGGAGAGCTACAAGCGGTGAGAGCGGAGGTGGCTAACGGCACAATGCTACTTCGTGCTGACTTGGACCACCTTAAACAGAGCGTAAAAGAGGTGGAGGACGGGTTGTCGACCTGGTCCAATGAGGTCGTTGCTCTGCGCACCACCATTTTGGAACTGAAAGAAGAAGTCGATGGGCTCAAAAAGAAATGTGACGATATGGAAGGGCGCATGAGAGGGTGCAATGTGCGGATTATTGGAGTTCCTGAGACACCAGATTCCAGCTCCACTTCAGCAGTGGCTAAACTGCTAGCAGAGGTTCAACAGATGGATAAAGAGCCACTGGGTGACCGAGCACATCGCTCTCCAGGTGGAAACAGGTCAGGCGATAAGCCGCGGGTTATTGTTGCTAAGCTGCACTATTATCAAGAATGTGTGGAAATATTACATCGGGCTCGGAGTCGTGGTCCTCTTCGTTTTAAAGAGGCACCGGTCATCATAACATCTGACTACACTGCAGCTGTGGCCAGGGCTCGGGCGGTGTTTACGGAGGTGAGGAGGCTTCTTTGCAACCGACGAGATGTTCGCTACGGCTTGCTTTTTCCTGCACGGCTCCGCATCTCTCATGGGGAAGAAAACAAGGAGTTCCTGGATGCCAATAAAGCAATGGACTACRTTAAAAAGAGGATCATCTCGGCGACGGACGAGGACCGGCGTTGACCGCGGGTCCAACCCTTATCGATCCATTTTGACTGTCAGGTCGTAATGAACCTTCCAACTTTATCTTGATTTAATTTCAGACTTTATTCTCAGGGACAACATTCCTCTTTTTGTTCTATGTACGAGAGTTTCACAGGGGGTCTGTGCAGATCTTGGTTAGTGCTTTATTTATCAGTGCTGCAAGAAGCATAAACAGTAATAATACTTTAAAGTAAGGGAACCCTCCCTTTTTTTGTTATTGGTATTTAGTTGTGGCAGGAGTCCAGGCAGGGAGTTAAGCCCCCCAGTAGCACAAATGTGTGGATTTTTTTGTTTGTTGGGTTCTCCGTGTTTTTTTGGGAGAAAGGGGTGGGACTATACCGGATCTATTTGTTTTGAGAATGTCTTTTTCAGGTTATTTTTTGTGATGGTTTGTGGATATTGTACTACAGTCCGATTGACCACACATGAGCAGTTCTATTATTAACAGGTTCATCAACAGTCACCCAGTTAACTGTGTGAGTTGGAATGTGAAATCCCTCAATGGTCCAGTGAAATTTAGGAAAGTTATGACACATTTAAGACAACTTGATGCTGGCATTATTTTTTTGCAGTAGACCCTTTTGCATAAGGCAGGCAGTGCAAACCTAAATAGGCACTGGTCTGGTCAGGTGTTTCAGTCTAATTTCCAATCTAAATCGAGAGGGGTTGCCATCTTAATT